TTATGCAGACATGTTATTATTGAAATATAAATATAATAATTTTAAAATGAATCGAAATAAGCATTCTCGTATAACGTACTACAAGTGTTTGTAACAAACCTACTCGTACATGATAAAAATTTATTTTGATTTGAATTGACTGATAACGCATGGGTATCATAGGTTATTCTATTTAGTTTATGGTACTTACAGACATATATATTTGTACCTATAGACAACTTTTATTACTTTTCAATAGGTGATCTGTAAGCTTGTAATTCCAGTTGTATAAAAAAATCTACCTTCGTAATTTTGTAGAGCTTATTTGTATTCAGCATGGCAAGGAGAGACGAAACCTGTTTCTGATTTCCAAACTAATTAGGTTTATTTAATGGTGTTTACTAACACTGGAAAGTTAGACACAAACTTATATTGATACACAAAGTTTTGGTCTCAGTCAGAATCGAACTCACAACTGTTAAGTAAATGTCGTTAAAATTATTTAGTGATTTATAGTTAGTTTTAGTTTATTTATTTAAATTAGTTTATTTCTATATATATATATATATATATATATATATTTTATTTCCACTATTACTCCTATTATTATAGGTGTTAACACAGTACAATAGTGTAACTGTATAAACAATTTGAACTTATCTAGAAACTACAATTTAACTAGCTTTTACTGGCTACTTTAATTTTGAACTGCTAAAGATAGGCCTCCCCCATAGACTGCCATAAGAAATGGTCCTGAGCCACCTGCATCCACTGACTACATGCAATGCATTTAAGATCGTCACTCCATCTAGTGAGGGGTCATCCTATACTAATTTAATTTACTCGTTCCTAAAGACAACTGTTTTTGTAAATTCATTTAGAGAAAATGAAAGTAGATCGATTTGCTTTGCTACTTATAATAGTTAAGAGTACGTAGAGCTCTTCTTTTGTTGATTGCTGAGTAAGTTGCTTAATTGGATACAATGTCGGATTTATCCCGAAATTTGAAATTATTTTTCTTCAAAATTATGCGTTTTAGTTTACTTTTTCCAAGCACTATGATCTTATACTGTCAAACAAAACACCGCTATGTAGATGAGAAGGAGACGGGAAGGTTTATTCCAAGCAGGGGATGGTAACAGGCTGAAATTATGACGATGATGACCCAAACTGACAACGAAGAGTTACCACGCCGTGCGGTCAGCGGCTGCGGTAATGCCGGCGCCACACATGTCTTTCCGGGACACATTATACAACTTAATATATTAATTAATTTATATACATAAATTAGATTGCATAAATTTAGTTAAAAAATTATTAATATTTATTTTATTTTGACATACATATTAACCTATTATTTCACATTAAATTTGCATTTCTATTTTCAATCTCGAGTTGACTATGGGCTATGGGCGTAGACTTGTTGTAGTTGGCTAAAGTCAATAGCAAGATATCTAATGTAAGTACATGTTTTGAGCACACTTAAGTAAACATCTTAAGAATGATGTTTAACACAAAGAATTGCGCCTCAATTTTGAGCACGGTATGCCTATTTAAGACGCTATTATGTCGTATATTATAAACATATGAGTATTTTTTTTATACCGCTGAGGTGGCAAACAAGCATACGGCTCACCTGATAGTAAGCAGTTACCGTAGCCTATGAACGCCTGCAATGTCAGAGGTATTACGCGCGCGTTGCCGACCCTGAAGAAACCTTATTAACCCCCTTTTGAAGAACTCCATGCTGTAGTCTCTTGGGAAGACCTTGAAAAAAAGGCTTGGGAAAGCATTTCTGAAACCACGTTGTACGCCATTTAGGCTGTAGGGTATGAGGGTGAACTCCCTGTCAATGGCGAACTGTACGATGATAAAAAGTGGCCGTAGGCATCATATTGAATAATTCGTCTGAGCACAATCCATTGTAAAACCGGTAGAACACGCAGAGTGAGGCAAAATCTCTCCTAAGTCTTCCAATACAGAATATTCAAAGGAAGATAGAATATATGATGTTGGATACATAAAGGGGAAAATGAAAAGCTATATTTCAGTAAGTATTAGTTACAAAATAAACAGTTTACGTTTAGTACTATTTTGGAACTTTATTTTTATCATCACCGTCATCATCATCATCATCATCATCATATCAGCCGTTAAATGTTCACTGTTGAATAGGCCTTCCCTATAAGAGGGGTTTAGCCAGTAGATGTCACGTTTTGTTTAGTTGTAGTTAGGTATTGGTGATGTTTTAAAATGCTTCCCATCGCTTGACCATTAAATTCTCTTATGGTAGTTGCCTCTTACGACACTCACGAAAAAGGAAGGGGTGCGTCATTCTATGTCGAAACCACACGGCAATTTTAATTTAGATTAATTCTATTTCAGTTTTATGTAATTCAATTATAGGTTTAACTGTTTAGTTTTTTGCTGTTAAAGTTAATTAAAAATAGCTTTTATTCTTATAACTATGACACCATCATACATACATATATTACAAAAGCAATTTTCTTGCAGACAGGTAAAAAGTATCTTATTATTCATTCGCAAAACATTCCATTTATTACTTTTAAAATGTCACATCGTATTGAAAAAATTCGGTACATCGCACCGTAATTTGCCGGCACTTTTTACATGTCCACTTGATAAATGGTGGTGTGGCCGTAATGTGATGTTCGCGCAATTAATCCGCATTATAAACGCATTATTTATAGCCTTACATAACTCATATATCACCTGTAGAGTTGAGTGACCTGCATAAATAGCCGACTGACTAGATATCAGGTGTCCCACATATTTTGTCCGCAAACAACTTGTCAAAACACAACGGAACCGAACACTTCTCTACGCGAGGTCAAAGAAATGTTTCACATGTACGCGAAACGTGTAATTTCTTAATGGTGTATTATACATCAACCCATCCGTAATATTGTATCTAACAGGGCGGAGAATGTACAAGGCGATATATGTGAAACAAAAAGAATCAGTGAGTCGATAGACAACTAGAAGTTCTTGTTTCTGCGACAAAGACCGCAGTCCTACTTGTTGGACTGGTTTGTTTTACTTTACAGTTTTTTTTTATATGAATGAAGATAATTAGTACTTTGTTTGCATTCTTTGGATATTTAAAGGCATATTATGTTAATGACATTTAGATTTTTTCTATGAATAATAATAGAATTTGGACATCAGTGAGGGATAACAGATGAAGAAGAAGCGGGACAGTTGGCCTATCGTGACGAATTCATTAAAATTTACCACGATTTCATTAAAATTTCACGATTTACCAGGGGGACCGCGTGGAGGTCGACCTGTTAGGGTATATTTTTTTTTAATGGATGATAATAGAATGGTAACCCCATCCGCGCTATCGGTATACACCGGCGGGGCACCAGTAAAGGATGATAGGTAAGGATGAAGTAGGTCAGTTAGCCCATCGTGACGAATTCCACAAGAATTGTTCCCGATGGTTTCCAGGGGCAACCACGTGGAGGTCGACCTAATAAGGCATATTGCTAGCAATGGGGCTGTCAAACTCCAATGCTAACAATCCCTTTCCCCCCTGTTAGGGTATATTGATAGTAATGGGTCTGTTCGATCTTATTACTAAGAATCCATTTCTCCCCTTATATTTAGATTACACAAATTTTATTGGGGTTAACCTTTCGGTTAGATATATGTATACAATATGCTCCGGCTCATTGGTATAATCATATTGTGATTATAAATACAATTAAAATATTTATTTTCTTTTATTAAATCATTAAAACACTGTTAATACTAAACAATAAGATTTGCGCGTTAATTTGAATAGGTAAATATTTTATTTATAATAGAATAACTAAACTTAAAAATGATACGATCCGCATAATTATTATCATTAAGAATTATCATTAACGTTAAATATATTCGAGTCTGATTCAAGGTTGCACGGCACTTGAATATGTAAATAGAGAAAAGGTGAACGTACCTACTTTTGATTCAGCGAATATGCTAATTAATGTTATGATTATTGCAGAAGTTGCGGAAACCAATTGTGTTTTTAAGTAGAATTAGTATTATTGTTTATGATGTTATGTTAAATAAACAAAACGAGTTTGGTAAAAATAACTTCTTCGTTTACAATCACACGAGTAGTATTTACTGGAAGTGAATTTACTGGGTACAGAGGAATAACACCTGAGTCCTCAGGAATGGCAACGCATGGGGGGTATCATGGGCGAAACAGTATACTCTGTTATGTACATGGTACTGCTCATGTCTATGGGCGACGGTTACCACTTTCCATCAGGTGGGCCGTCAGCTTGTTTGCGATTCTAAGTTGTATAAAAAAAAATAGTAAAATAAGTTATTATGACTTAAATGTTGAATTGATTTTAATGAAATTTCCATACAATCAATCTGAAAGAATATTCTTTCAAATAAAAAAATAATTTATTTAATTTCAAACTTTCGCATTGGTAATCATATATGTAATATTTTAAATACACTATCGGGTCCTTACGCGATGAAAAATTTTTGCAGGTAAATAGTACCTACATAGCTGCTTCTTTATTGCCGACGTTATTTTTCATCACGTTTAATCCCAACAGAGTATTTAAAAAATAACTTTTCAAATGACGGAGTTCTGTTGTAACAAATATACAAAAAATACAACCAAATTGAGAATTTTCTCTTTTCTTGATGTCGATTTACATTTAGAGTAAACTTGTGCAAAAATAGATCCATCTTAATTTTTTGACAATGAACTGATTTAAATGTGTTTAATCTCGTTCAGAAAATTACTTAGAAAAAAATAAACAATCTCCAGTTATACCACCTACTTGTATTAGGAAATGGATATACAATATATGATACTAAATGAATATCCTGCTAATTTTATTGCTCCAAATCCGAACAACAGCTAAGTAGAAAAATCATGAGTGATACAGAAGTTCACATTCGAACTATTTTGTAGTTGTTATAGTATTATTATTAGTTTAACAACCTTAAAATTTGTTTCTTTATGTTATTTTTGTATGCAGTTTCAGATTCAAGTGCTGTGCATGGACGGGCATGATGCGTGTGCCGCTGTTTCTTCTGTTTACCGCCGCCTGCACCCTTGCCACCGACTCCAATGAAGAAGAACGGTAAGTTATATGTATTAATAATTATATAATACTTCCACAAATAACGTGTGTTACAAAAAAGCAAAATGGACAAAATAAGTAACTAAAATAACATTTCTAGTAATGTATTTATTCTTATGAAAATTAAAATGAATTAAATTATTAAATATTAATTATTAATATATTAAATTATTAATAATTAATAGAAGATAAATAATAGGTTCACGAACACATTTGATTTTAAATTGAATTTATGATACGAAACTAGATGTAGATTTTCTGAAAAGTTAAAAACAGCGGTTTTATTCGTCACGAAGTTAATGTGAAACCAATACGGAAGTAAGCTCTATCAGCTACAAAAAGAATTGGTTCAGAATTGTTGATATCACGTAAAATAACAACATATTATAAGTTAAAACTGAATTATAAACTTCTTGCTATCGAAGATTTCTTAAAATGAATTTCCTGAAGTAGTTTAATCAAGAATTGATCTCAAGAACATATCGATTGAATATAATTGTAATATTAATGAAAACACATTTTTCTATTTCAGGCGATCTAAGCTGCCGTTCGTTGCAGACGCTGTAGGAAATGCTCTACCTCCACCTTCAAATGTACCAGCGACTGTTGGGAGTCCTGTAAATCTTTTGACTCCAGATCGATATGAATTCTACACTTTTGACGAATCTGGAGAACTCGTCAAGAGACTAATGACCTTAGAACAAATACAGGCTATAGTTGCTGCAGGTGAAGATGCCGATGGCTTAGTTACATTCGCTAATGACAATCAACCAACTATTGCTTTTAATTTTAGCCAACCTCCTTACACAAAAGTACACAATGTAGTCACTAACGTACAAAACGTATTAAAAGCTCAAATGGAAGCTCATAAAAACAAACCTCAAATTCAACCTACTTTGGATACACCTGATGTTTCAGATTCATGGAGTCTTATTTTGCCATCGATATTTGGTAATACTGGTAGCGTCGACATTGTTCCCGACAAAATTCAATACACAGGCACATTTACTACTCCAGAGACAGAAACTATAGAATTTACTCATGACATGGATGTAAATGAAAATTCAATAGGTAAAGAAGGTAGTAATAACTTAATAACTTCAACAGTTACAGTAGACGAAGCACCTAAAATCGTACCCGTTACTGAAAAATTATATCCAATGACTGAAGAAGAGAAAGTTGTACCAACAAAAGTCACAACTACTACTAATAAACCAATCACGACTAATAAGCCGACAACAGTAAAACCATCTACTGCGAAAAAGCCAATTACTACTAATAAACCTACTTCTACTACCAAAAAAATAGTAACATCAAGTACAACAATAACTGCCAAACCCTTTACTACTACTACTACTACAACACCTAAATCGATAATTACGACTACCACTTCTAGTAAGCCGATAATTACAACTACAATAAAATCAACAACTTCTACAGAAAAAACTAAAACAACATCAAATACGCCAAAAATTACAATTGCAAATACTGAGCCACGAATTACTAATTCAACAACTGCTAAACCACGCACAACTACAACATCCTATCAGTCAACTACGACTTCTGAGACAGTAGTAAAAATAACTCCTAAAACTACGACTGTAGAACCCATGATGCATACTCAAAAATATTCTGAGCATAATTTCAACAAAATTCAAATTCAAACAATCTCCAACAATGCTTCTGCAATAAAAAATAGTAGTATCCAAAATGAAAAAATAAGCACATTTATTCCGACTTCAACAGCTGCTTATATCATAGCCCAGACTACAGATAAGCCATTGAAAACTATGAAACCTGACGTTACATTTGCCAGTACAACTAAGAGAGCAGTTACAACACCTACTAAAATAGCAATTCCTACGACTGTAAAATCTCAAACAATGACATCAACAATCAAACCATCAACAAACAACTATATTTCTATTTCTACTACAGTGACACCAATTCAAAAAGAAAATGAGAAGATAAATACTACTACTGTAACTACTCAGTCCGTATCGCCTTCTACTACAGTGTCCTCTACAGAATTAATACATACAAACAACATGAATGATTTGAATGTCCACCAATCCGAAGCAGAAATTTCTGATAAAAATAAACCATTATTTGATGTAGCTCAAAGCATTAGTCAAATTGCATCGGATCTCGGTGGAAACTATAGACCAATTCCAACACCGAGTTATGTATTAGATACAACTAAAGTTAATGGAATCGATTTAGAAAGCAAGGAAAATTTAGGAATGGATATACCCATTGACACAAGTACTGATTCTGAAACGAAATCCCCAAACAATAACGAAAACTATATTCATAATTTTATTAAAATTTCTACTCTAGATCCTCATCATCAAAATGGCACTACAAATAAATTACCTGAAGATCATGTGTCGCAGAATATAAGTACAACTACAATAGGAACGACAGAAAAAATAGAATCAACTACAGTATTATCTGAAAGAACAACAATTGATCCAATCTTGTCAGAATCTATGGGTGATTTATTATCGCAAATAGTTAACCAAGCACCACAAACTATTTTGACTTCGGAAAAATATTCTAATGATATAAAATTAGAAATGACAGAAAGCAATTTAGAAACTACATCTAGTAATTCTGTAGACGATAAAACTACTGAAACGCCTTTTATTAATAGAGAACAAGAAATAACAACTATATCCGCGGAAGAAAGTTCTATTTTACCAAATATTAAAAATAAAATTGCAGGAGAAATAAATGAAACTATTATTGGTATTCCAACTAATGCAACCATTTCAGATAATAATGATAAACAAAAATATGTCAAAGAAAATAATAAAAATTATATTGAAATCTCAGTATCAAATAATAAAAATAATACAACATTAGAAAAAGTATCTAATATGACCAATGGAAGCATCGTGAATACAGAATCGGAGGACAAAAATATTCATAACATGAATAAAACTATTAAAAAACCTACAATTACCTTAACAGATGCTAATAAATTAGAAATTACGACGGAATTGTTAAAAACATTTCCATCTAATACAGAACAATTGTCTAAAACAGAATCAACTACGATTAAATTTAGTACATCAGCAGTAACAGAAAGTACTACAACATTTGCACAGCCTAGTAAAAATAAACTTGAATCAAATAACAACAAATTAACTAATAATTATAAAGATAAACTTCATGAAATATTGCCAAAAATAGATGAATTCAAAAAGAAAATTCAGAAAGTGAATATCGATGATAAAGAGCTGGTTGCTGAACGCAATAATTCTTGGAAGCTCATACCGACTGTCGCGCCCCCTAAATCTAATGAAATCCCTAAAGATAAGTTTAAAAATGAAGGCCATCTTACTGCAAGTGCTCATAAAGACATCGTTTTAGATTTTTCAAAAGAAAACCAAGGTCTAGAAGTTACAACAAAGGATCTAGGGGAAGATATTTCTCAATTCACAGAACTGTGTAATGAGTTAGCATTCCGATATTGGAATACAATTGTTGAAAATATCGATAAAAGAAGAAGTTTTATATTGTCACCTTATTCTATAACTTCTATGTTAGCTATGATGTTTATGGGAGCAAGAGGTGCGACGTCTGGTGAAATGAATGAAATTCTAAAATTAGATGAGATGGTAACATTTAATCCACATTTTACTTTAAAGAATATTTCCGATTCTATAGAAACTTCACCTGAAGCTGGTGTTATAGTATCTGCATTTGTAAGGGAACTTTATAGTGATAGAAACAAAGGAAAAATTTTGACATTTTACAAAGAAAGAGCACAACACTTTTACAATGGTCATGTCGAAGAGATAAACTTTAAATTAATTGGTGATATTATAAGAAGAAGAACTAATTTGCTAGTTAAAAGATACACATGGGGAAAAATTCCTGAGTATATGAAATCTAACTCTATTCATATGCAACCGCCTTTAGCAGCATTTTCTGCCAATATTTTCCAGGTAAAATTTTGTTCGTTATTTTTACTTTATTCTCAAATTTTAAAAACAATTAATAATATAACTTTCTTATTACCTTCATTTCAGACGGATTGTTCGGGATCATCAGTCGAGGGAAGAGATGGTGAAATGTATTTTGTAGTATCACCCAATGTGCGACAAAGACGACTAGTACCTGTACCAGCAGTTGTTTATAAAAAGGGTTTTCTAGCCGGATACGATCCAGTACTAGATGCTACAGCTGCTGCTTTAGGAAACACTAATTCTGTCGTTAGTACATTATTTGTAATGCCAGGGCAACAAGGGAACGTAGTACATTCAGAAGATTTGGAGGGTCTGGAGCAGCGTTTACTCGATGCCAACCCATCAACACCAGCTTGGAATCGTTTATTGCGTACTTTGCTTCCACGAATTGGTCTAGAACTTCAAATTCCAAGATTTTCCCATAAGTCTATCTTCAATGTTTCATCAACATTGCGAAAAATGGGATTAAAAGATTTGTTTGATTCAGAACATGCAGACTTAGGCGGTTTGAATGGGCCGTCAAAAGATCTTTATTTATCTGATATGATCCAAACTACTACATTTGTTACCTGCGGAGAAGGTATTGTAGGCGATCAACATCATATGGAAGAGTATCCTGAAACATTAGGAGTAGTAGCAAGACATCGAACATCTAGATGGACAAATGACTGGGATGAGCCAAGGGATTATCAAAGAGCTTTCCATGACCCGCATGATGTTGGTGAGGCCATGCATTTACCATTACATCTCCGCCCGCGTCAGGCGCGTCTTCCCGCAAGAGACGCTCAGCCAGCTCGATTAAAATTCGACAGGCCTTTCCTTTACTTTGTAAGACATAATCCTTCAGGTATGATATTATATGTTGGTAGATACAACCCACGGCTTCTACCATGAAGACGCTAGAAAAAGACTGTTAGTTTAGTAGTGTAATTAAATAATTCCTGCAAGGAAAGTGATAAGGGAATATACTGGCGCGTGTGATATATATATATACATATATGAAGATGTTAATTGACGAGCATTTACGTGACAGTATTACTTTTAAGTGTATCGGTACAGTTGGACAGGTGTTAGCTGTATGGTACTTTTATCCGTATCCTAATTCATATCAAACTACGAGTATGTGTACAAAAGGGCGGTAATAATGATTTTTATCATTAAATGATTTTAGTATAATAGAAGGCAAATAGGTGCCTAGTGTGTTCGAACATGTCATCTCGTTATCATTAATTTCTACTTAGAATAAATTCGATGTTTCGTGTAAGTAATTTTATTTCTATTATTATTTCCTCATATAATACGTCCGACATTCATCGTAAAATTGCTTTTGTTTGGAACATTCTATGTTATTTATTGGAACGGGGCAGTCCTGAAATGAGAAGCATCATTAATCAGTCAGGTAATTATATAATTTGAGTGGAATATACAATAGTATCTTTTAAGAAATTGCTTTCGAGTGTTCAAGCAATACTGGATATTATATTTGTTAATGTATCTTATCAACTGTGACGATCCATTATTATGGAATAGCAACGCTGCGGATTACCATGGGTTAACCATAATAACCCATGTTATTATGTTCATGATATTTATATTTATTTGTCAATCTGCATGTACCCACTCTATGAAATATAGTTAGTCGTAATTGTTACTCCTTATTAGGATTTAACAGGCGTCACAGGATATCCATGGTGTTGTTCATGTTTATACGCGACTCGGTTACCACAATCACAAGTTGTATAGAGAAAAAATGTTTAGTTTGTATACTCACTAGGTTAATAACGTGCCTTATGCACGAATGAAAATTGTAAAACTCGCAGATTTTTAGAGGCATAAAGTATTTGAAAATTTGCTTGCAATGTACTTTGGCACTCAACATAATTGTAGCAAATATAGGATTTAGGTCTACCCATTTGTCTAGATGGTTGTAATATTGTTCGTCATCCACATATTCTTCATCAGTTAGTAGATTATATTTTTTTAAAATACATCGCCAGTGATCGCACTGGAATTAATTATAAAAAATATATAGATCGAATATATTTTATTCCTGGATTTGAACTATTAATAGAATGATCCTATAGAGCTAGCCGTAGAAAGCTATGTTCGAAATTTTGCAGCATGTTAGAAATAAAATGACTGCCAGTGCAAAGGATCAGTAAATTGAAAAATGACAATGAGGTACCACATAGTTCGATGATCTAAAAAAAAAAGATCCTGGAAGATAGACACAACCGATATAGTAAGTACATGATTAGACAAAATGGAGCGATAACCTAAGTGATGTATTTCAGGGAGTCAAAAAATCTAGATAAGTTTAGAGTTCTACTTTGGTAGTCTATGGGGATAAGTGGACAATGACAATGTTTATGAATATCCTAATTACGTAAATAAGATTTAACTTACACCCGTGATCGCTTGCCGTCTTAGTGTGGTGACATTATTTTGTTTATCCGTAAATAGTAATGCAAAGATAGCTCCACATGCTCTAGCTACGTCTCGCGCGAAAAATGGTGGAAATACGCAACATTGACGCATCTGTAATTTTAAGCATGCATATAAATTTTCAACCCTTTTCAAAAAGAAAGAGGTTTTCAAATCGGTTGTATTTTGTTTTTGTTTGTTATCTCATAATTCCGTAAGTTCTAAACCAATTGGAAAAAATCTTTTTTTATCTAAAAGAATATGCTTACAGATTAGCTGTGTCGGAATTTAATCAAAATCGGTTTCGTAGTTTAGTTTTTAAGTAATAATAACTGGCTTTGTTACAACTGAAATTGTTTTTTTTTTGTGGAATACTATAACTTGTATAGTATATAGCGTCTTTATCCGTATGACCAAAAAGTTTTAACATTCACTGGAATTAAATATAGCTTATGTATTTTTCCTTGCTAAATATTACACTTGTGCCAAATTTCATTATAAATATGAAACTGTCATATATATAATGGAGTATAGAAAATTTTCCATGTGTTAATTTAGGATATGATCCGTTTGTATACCAAATTTAATTTAAATCCGTTCAGCTGTTTAAACGTAATTCAGTAACAAATATCTAAATTAGATAATAGATTTGGGTAGTTAGAAATCGGTACAGAACTTGACAGGTCTGGATAAGTTCAGATTAATCTGGTTTTCAGTGAAAATAGACAAAAAGGTGATGCTGATAAAATTTACCTACATGTAACATAGATTTAAATTAAAATACAAAGTTTTACCAATAATTCTGGAGCAGCGTGACAGCTATCTGGTTTCACAAAAGCACCTTCATCATATTGACATCTGACCTAAAATTATTAAAGATTGTTATGCTTTTAATTCTAAGTGAGATAAATCACGAAAATTTCTATTAGGGTTTTGTGAATGGATGAAAAGTGTAATGGTAAACCCATCTACATGCTGTTTTATTGATTTAGGCTGGTTGACTTGGTACTTCCAGCTTTCTTACTGATTTGAAAGATAATACACGAGTTAGTGTGTTAAATGTAGTTAAAAAGAAATTGTCAATATAATTCAACAACAGTTACTATATTGGCAATACATACATAGTCGTAAATGATACAATATTTCTTAATAGCTACGATGTTAAACATAATGTGAGTATGTTTTAACATTCTACATGTCTTTTCATTAGTACTTTAGTTCTTATATTTCTGCCACTAAGTAGCTGTGGACTAAATGATTAATCTGATGAATTTCTTAAGTAATTTATTTTAATCATGTAATTTACAAAAATAAAAAAAATATCAATACTTACATATACTAACACAATAGATATTATTACATTTGCAGTAATGAAATAGTATTTTACTGAATACATCTTGTCTATTTTTTAAGTAAGATACAGTATAAGTTAATATTATTAGAGACATGAAACGTCCTAACTGAAGTTCAAATTAAATCTGATAGTATTCGTATCGACGTTCGATTGATATTTGTAAAACTGAGCTTGTGTTTAAAAATATTGAAGTTATATAAAGCATTGTATCAGTTTACGTAATTGTACTGTAGTTCATTTCACAGGCTATTATTGACAGCTAAGAATTTTAAAACAAGAATATGTTTTATGACTATTGCAGCAAAAGGTAGTTAAAAATAAAGATCAAGAACAGAAAAAGGAAACTAAAAGAGTTTTGGAGGAAGATAGTTTAGAAATAGAAGAGAGACAGAGAGAAATACTTTAATTATTTATTTATTATTTAATTATTTATGATTAATTTTATTGTTGTTCCTTTATTCGGTCGGACCATTATTGTGAAATTGAAATTAGAACGTATGTTTTAATTTAAAATTATACAGTCGATATTCAAATGTTATAATTTTAATATCGATTGGAATGGACCAATTAAATTATTTCTCTGGAATCTGAAATTATTAATATGAAATAATTATTTCAGTTTCCAGAAAAATAATTTAATTTCAAACATCCGAGTATATTTCTAGCTAGATAAATCATCGACACTCCATCGCAATAATTAGAAGTTAATTGTTAATCAACGTAGATAAACGCTTAATTGAAAACGGCCAATCAAGGACAATGTAAACAGGAAAGAACGGTAATGAAACACATAGATGAAAATATTTAATTGTTTAATTAGTTTTTCTATTTACATAAAAAAAATAAATCTAAATAAAAATAATACTAGTTTAATACATAGTACTTGTGGCGTGTACCATCGTACTTTGTAATAGTTATATATTAATATATTAAAATAAAGGTACATAATACATTCATCTTTGTTTTGAGACCATGTCTAAGACATAGATTCTCTCTCTGTTGTAATGCTATGTATGACATGAAGGTCTTTTAATTGGCAATTCCACTTGTTCCTACCAACGTTCCCCACTAGGGTAAGAGTGGATTTTTTTCCACCTGTCTCTACTATTATGCGATCAGTAGGAATAAGTGGAATAGATGCTCTTCTCTATCGATTTTTTTTAAATAATAATAAGTACAGTTTGTGCTTCTACTTTAAATAATTGTACAGCAGTTGGCGTTTAATTGGAATTATTAAGATTATTCTGGAAGAAAGGTGTGCACTCCTCCATATGATTTTTAAGTTTTTGGCATCCGTCTGATTCGTCCCAAATTGGACATTTCTGAAAATAGAACAAAATATTATACATACATTGTTTTTGTTTAATTAACTGTGGCTTGCAAAAGTGACAATAACAGACGTATTTATAAAAGTATAGTGTATACATGGGTATATACAGAATGCTTTTATGCGTGCGTATTTATGTGTGCACAAACACACACAATTATGTGTATGTATAGATAATGCTTTTGTCGTTCATGCATACTACGGGCTAACCGTTACGGTTCAATTCACAAAGGAACTATCCCTTCGATTATACCCATGCAATATCCATTCTATAAATGTATATGGAATCCTTTTGTATGGAATCAAAAGACATAACACTATAGGTATTACCTATTGCATTATATTGAGTTTATATTAATACACTAGCTATATCCCGCAGCTTCACTCGCGTGAATGAGTATATAAAGTTTCCTAAGTTAGCTAAGTTAGAATAAATTTACCTATCCATTTATCGATCCACCCATCTTTATAAATTTTCGCTTTTATAACATTACCTAACAGGATAGCTTGATTTTCATAAAATTTAATTTAACTTTATTCAAATATTGATTATATTTAAAACATTTATAATTAACTGTGTGTATGTATGCTGTGGCATCGTAGTTTAAAATGAATTGACCGATTATGATGCGTTATTTTTTATTTGAAGGCTGACGTGATAGAGATAGTTCTTAGTTTATAATCTACGAAGATATATTTATGCGCTTCAAATTCATTAGCTCTTTTTATAGATTTGATTGCGTCAGGGCTTTTTTAAATTTTTCATAAATTTATTTTAAATTTAGGCCTCTGTTTCATTTCAAGCAAAAAGAACAGAACTGAATATATTAATCAGTTTAATTTAATTTTAATTTAATTTAGGGTCCCAAAATAAAGAGGCCCCATATGGTTCCGACTTTGTCCATTCGTCCGTCGCATAATAGCACTATATTTCAGTAACTACTGATGCAATTGTTGTGCCCGACAGGGTTAATAAAGTGCTTTTCTTATTTTCTGAAACTTTTTGTAATGTTGCACAATGCAATACTTAATTTAGTTGAATTGGATTAAATGATTTGAAAATTTGAATATATGACGAATATATTTAAATATTTACTGATCTGATATTATATCATTTTTATAAATGTAAAAAAGACAAATATTTATACAAAAGAAAAAAAATTAAATAAATATATATTTTTCTTGTAGTAGGGTCTAAAAATTGGAGTCAAAATGTAAAGTGGGGTAAAAGCAACACGTGAATTGGGGTTAATTTTTACACACCAAAATAATAATTTTAGTACATGGTAATACTAAATAAAGAATATTTTATTTTATATGCCGCTTTGTTTTCGAGATGAGAAATAAAAAAAAAACAGAATCAATCTTATAAGCAACTAGGTCAAATAATAAACAGAGCGCCTGAAAATTTCCACTCCACAGATCGGTATTATATCGGCGCAGTGCAAATGTAGTCGTAATTGAAATAAATAAATGAAATTAAATGAAATGTTTTTAACGTTTACGTTTTAAGCTTGGAACCAATCAATAAATATTACACTTAATGTATCTCTTTTTATCTTGTACAATGTTTTGAACATCTATAATTAATTATGTACTTTTTTTATTGTTATCTGTTATGTTTTCCAAATAAAAATAAATAAGGCAATGAATTATCTAAAGAGAAACTTACAGCAAACAATGTAGAACTGATGCAGAAGACTATTTTATTAGCTTCACAGATTTGAGGCGGCCCTGGAAGTTGTCTTCCGACGCATAACTCTTTTGCTGATACTATAGCTGACTGGAATTCTGTGTGATTAGACGTCCATTTGTCCAAAAATGCCGCTAACTTCTCGTGATCGATCGTAGTCTCATCTTTGAGAAGATCGTGCTTTTTAAGCATGCATAATTGTTTGGAGCACTGCAATATTGAAGTGTTTCGTTTTAGATAGAGAACAGAGTATTTTATACTGTGGTTTTATTATTATTTACTATAAGTCCAATATATTTTACAAACGACAATAATTATGAGCTTAATTATTGTCGTTTTAATCGAAATAATTTAAGTATAATAAAATAAATTACAATAATCTACTACTACTACCAGAGTAACATTTTAAAGTAATAAAGAGTATCTATACCATGCCATACAATACCAGGCTTTTAGTATCCACTGCTGAACATAGGCCTCCTCCTATTGAGGGGTTTTGCCAATAGTTGCCATAGTTGGCAGGCGGGTTGGTAACCGCAGTTAGGCTTTGGTGGTGTTTTAACAGGGACACTGCTGCCTGTCCTTCAACCATTAAATTCCCTTAGTCCACAGGAAAGGAAGGGTTGGTTCATTCTATTCCAGAACCACACGAATAATATCTACGCAAGTTTCTTTTGATCTACTTTTGATTTAGAACTACTGACAGATACATATCCATTATTGTTAATATAATGAACACATGCGACCTACCTATTTTTCGTTAAGCATATCTGACGACAATAACGAAGAACAAAAAATATAAGCAACAGTATAACAGTAGGTAAATATTATAAAATATTAAATTTATCATATTGGGCTTTCAATGGTAAATAAACTTACAATTATTAGATATTTATTTATTTATTACTTTAACTGGATGAGCTTTACAGTCTTCCAATATGCTCACTCAGGAAAGTATCAGTGCAATAACATATATAGAAAAGGAATAATACACATAAATAAAAGGAATAATATTAAAAAATATTAATTTAACTAGAGATAATATCAGATCCTAAATTTCTGCACACAAAAACCTTGTGGTCATATAGCTAAATACATAAGAAAAGGTGATACTTACATCAGGTGGACCTTGTGGTCTTTGTGGTGGTCCTTCCTCATTAAGTTTCCTGAATCCGCACTCTTGGAACTCTTCATCAGTGAAAAAAGGAGGTATTTTGCAGCATTCGTGAGGGTTGTTCTAAAAAAAATCGTATATGTTTATGGTCACCGTTGTACAGTGGTAGATGTATTCAGTAAATGAGATTAGAAAAAATCAAGGCCGAATTAAACAATCTTGAAACCTCACATACGCATAGCAGTTATATTTATAGAGTCGAAAAGCAGAATAATTGCTGTTATTTAATTAGTTTGACGTAGACTAAGAGTCCTTAATATTGAATTAGAATTTAAGTTCTTGTATTTCGGAAGGGGAATGTTCGAACTATTTGGGCATTATCAAGTCGCATAGTTTTCAGTTATCTTTCAATTGTCTCTTCAAGATTATTCTCCAAATAGAACACTTTAAATGGTTTTACTATTAAAGTCTGATGACCAACTTACAACGTCTTGTGGGGGACGTCGACATTGTTCTGGAAGATTTGGCGGGAAACGCGGTCCTCCCGTGAACTCTTGCGGTGGGCCTTGTGATGTAATCACCTGTGAATTTGTATTTATATCCATCTTTTAATAATGTTTGTAAATATTTCTTTCAAGTTCTTTTCGTTCGTTGTTTATTTAGAGTTTATTGAAATGAATACCTACTATTAATAAATTAATAATAATCAGTCTTAGGTATATTATTGTTTTGTGTAATGATCACAATCTATTATAATATACAATAAATAAATTGACAATTACATTGTATGATACATGTCAATATGATGCCTGCGGCCACTTTCTATCATCGTACGGCTCGCCATCGACAGGGAGTTCACCCTCATACCTTACAGCCTAAATGGTCGCGTACAACGCGGTTTCAGGGTCGCGTACAACGCGGTTTCAGAGATGCTTTCTCCCACGAACACTCAGGTTATGGAATGAGCTCCCTGCCGAGGTTTTCCCGAGAGACTACAGCATGGGGTTCTTCAAAAGGGGGGTAAAGAGATTTCTTCAGGGTCGGCAACGCGTGCGTAATATCTCTGGTATTGCAGACGTTCATAGGCTACGGTAACCGCTTACCATCAGGTGGGCCGTATGCTTGTTTGCCACCTCAGTGGTATAGAAAAAAATAGAAAATAGGTATCTGATTATATTCCTGTCGAAGTCGCACACGATACGCACAGAAAATTATTATATAGTATTTTATGTATTTTCATTTTCACGTCAAGGTCTTCCACGGGGATTGCAGGATCCTAATCATCTTTGAAAAAGAAAAGCTTCTCGCATTAAATGTATTTATTTTTATGATTATGTAATACGATGTCTTCAGTAATTGTCAATCGATCCTATTGGTTGCTTTTTATTCAAATATAAATGCGTATTTTAAAGACTGTTTACAATTAATTCTGTTCAAATTTGAGTCTTTTTTTTAATTACATGATTGTATAAATATAATAATATTGTTTAAATTAGTGTGGTTACTTACATGAACAATTGTGGCCAAAACGAAGGCTACACTGAAACCCATGATGGCACGGAACCTGAGGGCTCGAGGTGTTAGGGTGAAGTGTTGATGTGACGTATGTTTCAGCAGTTATATAGTCGCCAACATTGTTCGTGGCCATTGTGCGCTACGGGAAATAACCAAGGTGTCGTGCCATAGAACAATGAACGTATATAGATGCGACAGACTCACTTGGTCCATCGTTAAGTACATATATACAAATTTGAGAATTATGCAATTGTAAATTTTAAATTTATTATTTTAAATTTAACCTTCCGATTGCTCGATATGATAGGATTTCAGCAATAGTTCGATCTTGTTAGGTTTTGTTTGAACACTTGTTAGTAGGTTACAATTTTGCATTTATTATTATATTTTATGATATATAATCTACCTACATTAAAAAAAAAAAAAAAAAACTAGCTTATACTGTCTTGCGTACGTGAATTATTGTCATTTATTTAAAACTTTAGTTACCATTTACAGTAAATGATATATAAAGTGGATTTCATACTAAATAGTATTCGCTCTTTATCTATTAATTAAGAATATGGTTTATCCGTATGCCAAATTTCATTCAAAAATCTATTTATAGGATATCTTTTGTTATTCTTTTGTTGTTTGGTTAGTTTCTTAGGTTTTTATAATTTAATGATATCGATTAATATCTAAAATCTAATTTAAACAAGGTAATGTAAAATATAGTTCGAAACTTGTACACTTAATTTACTTCATAATGTTATTTAATTTATGCGTTGTTAGTTCAAATATTATAAGTTTCCTGGGTAACTACAAAGTGGTGATAAAGTAAGATTATTGTGTCACCATTACTATTTTTTTTACATAAAATTTTTCTAAGGCTAGGAGAATACAGTACAATACATCAGTGCAAAAAAAAAAGGGAATTAGAATTAAACCCTATATGCTGTGATCACGATATAACTACAACTGAAGAGTAGAGCAATAATTGATATTTAGTCCAGAGGATTTAAATAAGTAAAAATAATTTCAGGCAAAAGCATAAAGCAGGAGGGCACATATTAAGCTTCTATCTATTAGTATGTTGGATAGATTTATCATCATAATGACGTCATTACATATTATATGCAGATATTATAACTGCTAGTAGTTACTTTATGAAGACACTAGGAGACAGGAAGACACATACTAATTTCCTCAGATTGCGTACGTCTTTTGGCTATTGTCTATGTATGTACATACAGCATACGCCGTACAGCGGAACATTTATTTTCTAAAATAGTTTAGATTCTGTCTATATATATTTATTTTTACTTCACCGGAACGTCATATACCTATTATCATTTTTTGATTAATGGTTATGAACCCAGATAGTATCTGTTACAGTTACAATTAATGGTTATAGTATTATGTGTCTATTGTTGTTATGTTACTTATATTTATTATAATAACGTTCTATCTATTATTTACTTTTCTATTTTTCAACAATAACAATATTACTTCAAAAGATTATTACTAGATTAAATGCAATTGCTTCCTTATTTTTGTGAGTAATCATTTATAGATAATTTGTCGCGTAATTGAGGCTAACTAGCGTCCTGCAATTGGATAACTATGCCATTATCTCCGCATCCAAAATATCCACGCAAAACCATTCTTTGGAATCAATTTCCAGCAGCAGTATTTCCGAACCGATACGACAACATAACCTTCAAGAAAAGAGTATATTCCTTTTTAAAAGGCCGGCAGTACACCTGCAATACCGCTGGTGTTGTGGGTAATCATGGGCGGCGGTAGTCACTTACCATCAGGTGAGCCGCATGCTCGTTTGCCCCCTGTATTGTAAAAAAAATATCAAAGTTTGGAACGTGATCTTACTCTGTTTTCTATTTAATGAGAGGGCTTTGAGATTCTTAGCGAAGTCAATCACGAAGTTAACTGCAAGATAAAAACCGAAATAATAATATTCGCAGATAACCCAAACTTACTAATATAGTTAAAAAAAGTAAGAAACTGAAGGGACAAATGGGCAGAACTTAGATAACTGATACTTAAAAACAATGACAATCAATAGGAGAAGAAAGTATGTCTAATAGCAATCATTTCCACTACATGGACAGATGTCTTTAAATATCGCAGCGAGTCAATGAATACAGATGGTTTAGTCTTTTATGACAATCTAGGGAGAAATTTCATATTTAGCAATGAACAGTAACGATAGGGTTTAAAACAATATATTGTTGTGCATAAGTGAATAAAAATATACTATTTTATTTTAATTTTAATATTACATTTGGAATCAACACTACTACTACTATATGAATAATTTTTGACTTTGATTTTGATTTTTTGACAATTAACGACTAAGGATGAGCTTCATAACTAAGCTTTTGTAAACTTTTGGTATAAGCATAGGTAGAATTATGAAAATAGATGGAGGATTGTTAATGACGTAAGCCCCTTGCATTCTTTCTGCTCACCCTTAAGAGATCTAGCATAAATATATACGTATAGATAAAATATTTGTTTTGTAAGATTAGGTGTAGATCTGTATAACCTTGTTTGAATTGCATGTATGCGTTTCTACTGAAAACGGGGACGAAATTTACAATCAGCTAAATATTTACATATACAAGTACTTACCTAATGCAACGTTCACGTAAAATCTACGCGTAAAACAGAATTCTTGGATACATTATTGAACAAAAATCTTGTTTCAATTGACCTAACAACGACAATGTTGTAAATATATATACAGCTATTTCTATCGTAACAATAGTAGTAGGGGACCTACATGGTCGTAAAATAGATATGTTTATGGATTGCAAAGATTGAGGTAGTTCAGAGTGCGTGAAAATATATAAAACACACACATTAACAAAATTGACGAATTTAATTTATTGAAAGTTGCTTAAAAAAGTATCCAGATGATAAGATAGAAAAACCGTCACTAAATTATAATAGGCCTTCGTTAATGAAAACGAATTAAAATTACTAGGATTGCATAACATAAAAGAAATTGATTCGCCGTCGAAAACATCCAAATAATTACAATCTTTTAGTGTGTCGGATGTCCTCAAGGAGACGTCATCATCACGGTCGGTGAATCAGTGTCAAGTAGAGACGGAACCTTGTACAGCGTAGATAATTGTGCAGGTACAATGAACTAACGATAATGCAGTGTTATTTATATGAATATTCTAAGAGCAATGAAGATAACGCGGTGTACCGCAAGGATTAATAATAGGTCCCACTTTGACCTACAAGCGTTATTAGTTTGCATTTACTATTGAAGGCTTCAATTTTATTGCGAAAGTAATAGGCTCGTAACAATTACAAAAATAATTATGTTGACACAGGTATTAAATTATCCAACATTTTTGAACAGTTTGGAAATTTTACACTATTATGTGACTATGATATATTGGGGAGAAAAGACCTATTGTTAGCAGCATATTCTATCAGATCGACTTGATAGTATATAGATAAAGTTTTGTTATTGTTTGTACATTTATAATTGTAAATTATATTATATTATACATGTATTCGTATTTGTGGGTCTCGTAAGAGGCGACTAAAGGAGTTTAAAGGTCGAGGTAGGAGCAGTAGAGTCCCTCTAAAAACGTCACCGAAGCTTGACTGCGGTTGCTAATCTGCCTGCAACATAGCAACTTCTGGCAAAACTCCCCAAGGGGAAAGGTTATGTTTAGTGAAAGACAGTTAACGGCTGATATGATGATGATGATGATTTACTTACAGATTTTTAATCGTAACTATACATTTGATATGTTGTTATATTTATACAATATTAAGTAACATGTCAGAGAATAATACATTTCTTAATTAACTAGTTATATATGAGAAATCAAATAATATTAATTAATGTCAAATCATCATAATATTTCTTAATAGGCTAAATAATTCATGTGTTAAATTGTTCCAAATGAGAATTTTAATTGGTATTTTGTCAATGTTTTATAATTATAACGTCTTTTCATGGATTATATATTATATAAATAAATTATAAAATATATAATTTTCATAAAAAAAGATCGTAAGCATAATAAAAGTTTCTAAATGTAACATAGACGTAACCTAGTTACTAGAGTGGTCACAGATCTGACAATTTTGATTAGTATATACAGAGTGTTGAACCGTGGAATGAAATGAAGTCCAAGCATAGCATAGCATAGCATAGCATATACTGTCAATATACTGTAGTATATTCGCAGTATATGCTCATATCTATAAGTGATGTCTATCACTTATTAACCATTACCCATTAGACAAACCATCAGTTTCTACACTATTCTAACTTGTATAAAAAATACTATTGTTTTCACATTATCATTAGAGTATAGGAAGGAATCGGTAAATATCTATTGGGATTCAATCATCTAAACGCAATTGTGTTTCTATTGGTATATAATAAGACAATAAGCCTAATGAATAATACATTACAATGGATATTCTTTAATTGATAATGTTGTAATGAGGACAATAGTGAAGTGAATTAAAATGAGTCATACGTTCTTAAATTTATTTATTTTGTGCAGTTTTATTAGTTGAAGTTAGTTTCTCAAATTCTAACACTTCCACGCTGCTTTAGGGCATTTCTGTAAAAAATAAAATGTATTTTGAAATTATATTTGCAGTCAATAAAATATTAATAATAAAACAGATACATCTGGATGGAGCGTCGAATGTCAAAAACGATCCAAGAAAACGATCATTATTAACTGTTCAAATAATTTGGAAAGTATAACAATATAATAATAAAATGACCTTTTTATTCTAACCTTCAACAATTGATTAATACAAATTTAAAAACACCATTTAATCAAACTTGCATTATTTTGTCTCGCATTTAGTTATATTTAGTTTTATTTTTAATATAATTTACGTATATTATATATTTAATTGCTATTAAAAGTGCGCGTAGAATATTATTAATAATACATAGTTTTTGCACCATGTGAATAATGCCTGGACATTTATATTATATATAAATTGTTAACCTTTAGCATTGCAATTCCTGTACAAGTAAATACATCGTACGCCTTGCAGGGCTCGTCTAGGTACTGCCTAATATCTTTATCGACACAATCCTCTATAGCCTTGTTCACAGCACTCGACCAATCTTTGTGTTTATCAGCCCATTGTAGTAAATGGTTTTTATAAACTTCCTTGTTAAGTTTGTTCTGATCGGTTAAAAATCCAGACTTTTCGAATACACACTGTACGTCACGGCACTAAAATGATAAAAACTAGGTATATTATTTAAAAATGGCACTTCTAATATGAAAAAAAAAAATTAAAACTAGCTATGCTACTTCCTGCAGTTTCTCTCGTATCAATTAGAACATAACTTAGATTATATAGGTAGTGTCTGCATACAAATGCTTCTCGAAATTGGGTCAAATTTTTTTATACAATTTTGCGTGATAAATTGTTATGATTGATTCCTTTATAATTTCTATATTTATTTGGTCTTATAAATTCTGCACCTCTTTAATACGTAAAAACTCAATTTATTTCTTAAATAATTAAATACAAATACGTCAAGTACACTATGTGCGTAAGTAACTAATTTGACAATTAGTTGACAAAATGTTGACCCTTTTTTGAGGCTCAATGCTCTATCTATGTAATCTAAGGGACGAAAATATCCCAATATTGAGTATTAAGAATATAGCACATCTGTGAAAGTAATTGCAGCAAATCCATTCAGCTATTTAAGATTCAGTATAAGAAATCATAGAGGACCTACCGGATCCATTTTTATTTTTTTGATGCAATAAAAACTATTCTATCTCTCAAATTGGAGCAAACAATAACAAAATTTTATAAACATTGATTGAGCGATTTCAAAGATTACCGTGAATACATCTTGAGACAAGATTTTTATATATTAAGACTAGTAGTATAGTATTTACTTACAGGGCCTGGTAACTTTGGATTGGAACACTCAGTCAGTGGTTTTGGAGAGCCAAGTTCTGGTATATCACAGCAAGCCGATATTGGTTTCTAAAACAGGAAATGTTTGAAGGCAGAATAAGATGGGAAAAATTAGAACATAAGTAATAAAACAAAAGTTAAATATTTACACCAATAACTATAGCACTTAAGTTATATTTTGTGATAGATATTATATAGCAGGAAATATAATCCAAATATTGAAAGTACAATATTTTTTAATGAGTGTAAATTAAATGGTAGTTCTAATGTAAATATAATGGTGCAGATGAATGCACATTAGTTGACCTATCTAACGAGTTCAACAACAATTAACCACGATGGTTTTGAACCGCGTGGAGGTCGAGCTGATTTGGTATTACTAGCAATGAGGCTATCAGATCTCATTACTACCAATTCTTTTTCTTTCGATAGTTCAACATAATATTTTAAATACATTCTCGGGACTTAATGTAATGAAAAATTTGCAAGTAAATAGTAACTACATTCTTGCTTCGTTATTGCCGACGTTCTGACATGGATTTCACCACGTAGTGGTTACGACAGGATTCGCGTTAAGTCCCGATAGTGTATTTAAAATATGTGTAAACACGTATTGTTTACATTACATTTAAGTTTAAAATTAACTTTAACATTTTAAGTTTTATACTAAAACCAATTTTAATAATATTAGTGTGGAATTATAATAAGTGCCACTCTAGTTACCGGGTACTCAAGCTAGTATACTCTTTGTTATGAATAATTAAGGAAGAAACATTTGGAGACAACCCAGAATACCCAAACCGAGCCAATTTAGAAGAGTTCGTTTCCGAGTTAGACCTATCAGGAATAGAATACTCATTTTATACAAAACAACGTGACCACTGTGCTACAGAAGTCGTTAACTGCCAAAGATTAAAATCGTCTTTGTACATTATGTTGAAAATTAATTGTTCTTAACACTATGTTTGTGTACAGTAAAGAATAAAGAAAGAAAATGGCGAAGAAAACGTATTAGCTACAAATAAAGTAAAATTCCTTCTTATCAAGAAGAAGATTTTAAAAAGCAAATTGGCTATGTCTTACATTGTATATCATTATGCAATACAAAAATGTTTCTTTTTATAAAATTAATTTACTTACTAGAGTTGCTCCTTTCTTTCTAGCTTGTACTTCGATTACATCAGCTTTTACGACCTAAAATTAAATAAACATTAATGTTTATCGTATTATAAATTAGACAAATCATCATCTAAATTTAGTCTACCTGCTTAAATTGGAGAAAACATGGATAAAACTCCTTCAGTGATTCCAAAACTACTATGAATAGACAGAAAAAAAAAATGCTCTGATATTTACAAGTTGTATCTTATAAACTATATATCTTTATTTCAACTAGTGTTTAAAGTTGTAGGCAAAGGAAACTAAGGGAAAGTAAGTATGATTATATAATGTGAGGCAAGAATTACTGTCTAATTCATTAATAATTATTATTTCTTATTACAAATAAATACGATCCATTTTTGCTAGTAACAATTTACTTAAAGTTTGAAGTAACTCTATCACAGTTTGTTAGTGAAATAAAACAAATCACTTTATTCCCTCTATTTTAATTTTAAAAATCCACCTTAGCAAAGTGGTATAATTCCACACAGTATTTTTCAGATTCATAAACAAAGTACGGTTTCTATTTCCACGTCAGATCATATTTGATGTGGATATAGGAAATCGTGTGCCAATGACCTTACATATATCAGTACATTGACTACTTCGTACACTATTATAACTGTCTTTTGTCTTTGTCCACATGCAACGTTGTCAGATGGGTTATTTGATTTCTACCCAAATATGATATGTTTTTTTTTTCAAATTGATATGATGTTATTAATCTCAGTCCAATCAACTTGTAACGGGTTTCCCTATATTTTATGAGCTACGTAAAAGAAACGCTATTCTCTACAACTAATTTCTTCACCTCACGTTACTACCTACATTGATGACACATATACTCTATGAATTTATATATACTACTATGCAGTTTATAAACACCAAAATTAAAAAAAAATCCCAAATTTCTCCACGTCTATTTAATTTTTCCATAAGAATTTCCTTAACAATTTAATTTCACACAAAAAGTTATTACCCAAAAATGCTAAAAATAATCTGGCAACCCTATCCACATGAATAAGGGCTATAGAATGGAACCTTTATGTTAATTCATGATATGTTCCATCTATATTTTAAATATCATTCGAATCAGTTGAGTGTTTAAGCGTAATTAAGCACGTCTAAATATCAACTTTCACATTTATATTAGCAAAAAAATTTTCAAAAAGAGAATATATGTTCACTTACTGATATAATTAAAATTAATGCGAAATATAATTTATTCATTTTTGCACTGTCAATAACACACGACTCTCACTGCACAGGAATGTATGTATATAAACAAACATTTGTGCAGTATTGAGTATATATTATTAGAATTATCATTATAAATAAGAAATTATCAACAATAATGTCAAAGGTGCGACATAACGACATTCAATATAATTATATATCATGTTTTGAAGCAGTTTATCAGTGGAATTAAAAAAGGTAATGAAATATTTGTATTTCTCGAGAAATGGACAGTGAACGCAAAATATTGCGAATGTTACTACAAGTAGAATTGTTTGTAGAGTGTATTCCAAGAAATAGTAACGTTATTAGTTTATTAGAATACATAGTCGATATAAGGAAAACAAAACTTTTTTTTTATAATAATATTGATTGTCGCAAGTTCGATACCCGCATTATATAAATATTTGTAGTTGATTAGTGTTTTTTTTTTACAACACAGGGGGCAAACGAGCATGCGGCTCACCTGATGGTAAGTGACTACCGCCGCCCATGATCACCCACAACACCAGCGGCATTGCAGGTGTGCTGGGTGTGTTTGCTTTTTTAAGCAACATGGCAAACAAACTTCTTCTTCTTCCTACCCTTATCCCAATTATTATTTGGGGTAAACTAATTGTTAAAAATAATAAATTAATGTTTTTTATTATTATATTGTAAATACAGAGATCATTTACATATACCTAAATATATATTTAAGAGTCTTTTTTAAATTGTTTTCTCCCATTTCTTTTGAAATTAGGGAGTTTAATATTTCAAAATAAAATGTATATATTAAAAAGAAATTATCTTTGTGCTCTTTAAGTTTAAACGTCACTTTTAATATAGTATTTTAGAGTAAGAAATACAGATTACTAATTAGTAATATCGCTACTAGTTTTTATTTGCGAGTCGCGATTCGCTTTACCGGGTTAAAGCTGTCATATGTATGTCTCTTGTTTGAAATATAATATGTATGTCGAATTTGATAATTATTAGTTGGCTGGGACAATAAAAACCCAAAAAACAAACAATATATTGTAAGAATAATTTACATTGCACCTGGTTGTTGTGATTTTTGGAAACTAAATATACAAAAGCAACGAAGAGCATGCAAACAAGACAGTCCGATTCGAAAGTGTGCTACAAAATTTACTTACAAGCTCAAAGATGGCGCTACGAGTTGTAAAAGAAACAAATTTTATATTGTTATTTTATTTACTAATTATTGAATATAGATAATTTATTTTATGATAGTATAAATATAATTGACAATGAATTTACTAAGTATTTTTTTAATGATAATGGAATTGTGACCCCGCCTGTGCTAACAGTATACACTGGTGAGGCACCAGTGAGGGACGATAGGGGAAGATGAAGTAGGTCAGTTACCTCATCGAGGCAAAAATTCAACAATAAATCAATCACCTGATAGGGTATATCGTTAGAAATGGGTTTATTAAGCCATTAGGTTTAATAATCTCTTTCCCGCCCAATCGTTGGGTATGGAGACATAATAAGTTAGGTTTTAGGTGATGAGTGTCATAGTATATTCTGTGATGCCCCTGGCGTAGTTTATGTCTATAAGTGATGCTTACTTTTTTCATTATAATTTTTTTATGAATCGACATTATTGCTATGGCGTAATGATTCATTGAATTAAGGTTTCTTGAGTTTTAGGATTCTTTGTGGTCTAACGAATTTTTAAATCACGAAGAATTAAATGACGAGGATCGTCGATGTAATTAAAGCTAAAATAACACTAAAATAGTTTCTTATTTTAGTGTTATTTTAGCTTTACTCATATCGCTTAAATAGTATACATTATTGACAAGATTTATTTAATACAAGAAAAATATCCATTTTATATATTTCAGATCAATGTTCATAAAATTATAATCGGACTTCACTTATGTAAGTTCGTCCAATTGTTCAATTTATTATTATTATGGTTAATTAATAAAATAATACTACACGAAGACATTGGATGCGGAAGTTTATCACACTACCTTATTTTCCAATCGTAGCTAGTTCGTTTCATATGCAAAACAACTGTTTACATAAATTCTTCTGTTTATTTAAGTACATAATTATAACTTCATATTTAATTACTATGTTTAAATTTCCAGTAATAATAAACAACATTAACAATTATTAAAACACTTTAAAGTACTTAGTCTTGACCATTATTTTTACGAGTATAACTAAATATTTCGCAATACTCATATATATATGTTTAACCGACTTAAAAAAGAAGGTTCTCATTTCTGTTGTATTTTTTATGTTTATGTAAGAACTCCGTTACTTATAAACCAATTTGGAAAATTATTTTTTTGTCTAAAAGGATATATTATACTTACAGATTAGTCCCATAGAAATTTTATCAAAATTCTTTGAGTAGTTTAGTTTGTAAAATAAATGTAAGTAGTTTTGCCACAATTGAAGTCGGTTTACTTTGTGGTCAAAATGTGTGTCGGTTTGTGGAACAAAATCTTTTCTTTTTAAGATTTTGTTCCACAACTTTTTAAGATTATATACCTCGTAATACTCCTGTGTATTCATTTAGGTCACTCTTCTGGCATTTTTTTATCTTGTCTCTTGTTATCTTCTTATCTCTTTACCTAATTTTTTTTCACAAATTACCAAACAGCATTATGTAAATAAAAATCCATGTCAACCGTTTTCGTGTGATGTCATGCAAGTTACGAGTAATTCTGTAGGTCATAACTAAAGGCCTAACTTGTTGATGGATAAGCCTGGCTTGTAAAGCTGTGGCCTGATTGAAGCGGTTTTTAATTTTAATTAATAAATGATTATCATTTCAATTTGTTACAAATCCGACGACCGTTTATTTTTTGTCCTAGAGCAGTGATTCTCAACCTTTTTTTTTGTTGCGGCACATATTTAACGATTTCAAAATTTGACGGCACACAAAGAAAAAGATAAAAATTATTTACTTACTACAACACACTGTATAAATAGTTTATGACAAAAATTTTAAATATTTGCAAAATTTGGCGGTACACTTTTAAAATTTGGCGGCACAAGTGCCGCGGCACAGTGGTTGAGAATCACTGTCCTAGAGTGCAGGAACAAACAATTTGGCGCATCTCCTAGTCAGATGGCGTGACGATCGAGGAAAATTGCTAGGAATGATTGGGTGAGTGTGAATAATATATATTTCTACTAATTATGTTAATTTATATTATTAGGTATATTTAACTTTTTTGTATAATATATATTAGTCACTACTACCATCAAACGCTTTTTGTTTTTACCTAATGTTTACCTGTTAGAAAACGCTATACGGCATTAAGATCGCCATTTGTACAAATTTTATTATGCAATAAAAAAGAAATAAACAAATTCAGATTTGAGTAAAATTAATACAAATTAAAAATATTTTATTAATATGAATTTTTTTGTTGTTGTTTCAATTATAAAATTGAAAAAAAAAACAACAGTTGTGTTTCATGTCCGTTCTTCTCAGCCGGATAGTACTTAATAAAAAAAATACTATTAAAAAATACTTATTATTAAATATATTTGAATAAAAATTATTTCTTATTATATTGCTATATATTATTTTTTGTAAATTTCTACTGATTTGGAAATAGCACAAAAACAAAAAAAATCCTTATAATATTTTGGACACTTTTTTGTGATAAAACAAAAAGGGGTATTTACTTGTATTATAATTGTATGTCTAACCGGATTGACTTACGTGTATTTTAGTCGAGAAATTCTCTTCAAGGTTAATATATATTTAGAAATATCAAATAAATGAATAAAATTAATAAATGTTTATGAACATAAATACACAATCGGGACGCCGTACCTACGTACCTGCTTCTTTACTGCCCACGTTTAAATATTACACATATTTTAAACAACGCGAAAGTTTAAAATTAAACGTTTTTTTTTTTGTTTGGTGTTGTGTAATGCCGAATAAATATTTTACTATTTTATTCTAAACATTTGTAAAATTCTTTTCCGCTAGATGGCTAACATACACACTGTAGCTGTACATAGACAATTTACGCCGCTTTTACGCCCAAGAGGCACGCACAAGACGTGCAGTGATCACTTATTGGGCGGCCCATACGGTTTATGTGCCGTAAACCCGACCATTGAACGAGACGAGTGGGATTTGCCAATTATGAGATAAGACGTTGACGCATTTCTGTCACTGTTTGACTATTTGACTAGAAATGATCATTAACATTACACTTTTAGAAGTTATTTACATTAACATATAGGTTAAAATTGTTTTTATTAATAACTTTTTAATAAGTGTTCTACTAGTAAAATTGAATATTTATCTCAGAGAAAATAGGTTAAAAAAAAAGTTTATCAACATTTTTTATTTTTTTATCCTTCTTTATCGATTTTCATTTTTTTGAGAGAAGTGTTCAATTTCACTAGCAAAATATTCTATAAAAGGATGCAAATGATTTTGTTTTCACATTGTATAAAGAAATCACAACATAGGCCTTTTCTAAAGACAGCTATTGAGGAGAGGATTTGTCAGTAGTCGCCATGCTTGGCAGGTGGGTTGGCAACCGCAGTTACGCTTCTGTGAAGTTTTAGGAGGGACGTTGCTGCTCATCTCTCGACCATTAATTTCACTTACAAATGTCAATATATACGATAGCAGTTTGATTTATTCACAGTTTCAAGGGATTGTAGATTTGAGTATTATGTAGTATTATTATGAGTATGGGATTATATATTAATTTCAGCTCGATACCACCACAAGTTTCTGAGAAAAAAGGGTCCTGACAGATCAACAGATAAACAATAAAGTGGTCCTGTACCTACAGATTTCCTTTTTCCTTTTCAGGTACGGAACCTTAAAAATGATATGATGGATCACTATAATAGATATATATATATATATATATATATATATATATATATATATATATATATATATATATATATATATATATATATATATATTAATATAGAAGTCAAAATTGTATTTTTTAGTATTTTTGTCTGTTTATCTGTACGTATGTTTGGTGTTCCGACATCACCCAAAAACTACCGCGCCAAATTGTATTGATGTCATCGAATTTCACAGTTATG